ATATATATATATATATATATATATATATATATATATATATATATATATATATATATATATATATATATATATATACGTAAGCATACAACTAAAATCAAGTAGTGAAACATACAGTTTGTTTCAGCAGGGGTTGTCAAGTTGACTGTGGTGTGTTGGTTGGTGTTTGTGTGGTTTTTGGTTGTTTTTGTGGTCAGTGGTGGAAAGTCAGATTGTGAATCACTTTTCGGGGATGTTTTACTTAGTAATATATTTAGTCAAAATAATATACATAATATTTTCTTTTATTAAAATGCATTTAAATTTGTATTAAATATTCATATAAATATTAATTTCTTCTTCTTATTATTATTATAATTATAGGTAGTACACTATAGGCTACCAAGTTGCAAATTACTTTGGATAAAAGCAGCTTCTTTCTTTCGCATTGCACTCTTCATTTAATTTAACGAAAGATCAATATTTTTAGGGAGAGTGTGTGTTATCATAAGAGAAATAATTTAATGCAGAAAATTTATTTTGGGTCTTTCCCTCCATCACACTTTTCATACATTTTGCTTTTCACATGCATATAATCAGCTTGAGCTCTGGCCTCTACCCTGATTCAGTCTGGCTTTCTGCCTCACTAAACTCTCACACACATCACACCGCAAGTGGAGCTAGAAATCACACTCAGCGGGTGCGTGATGAGATAAAATCCTTCTCAGTCCACAACGGTGTCTTTAGACACCAAAAATTAGCAGTATCACTGTAACAGCTTTCATTAGAGAGTAAACATGCAAACTGTTACATGCCACCCAGGGAAAAAAACATGCTTGTTTTCAATCACAGAAGCATGAGAAAGACTTAGTGACTAACTTAACAAGCCACTAGCCGAGTGAGCGCTCAAACACATTCTCATTCCCTTTCAAACACCTTTGTGGCATTTCAGTTAATTTAAAGGGGTCATATGATGCGATTTCAAGTTTTCCTTTCTCTTTGGAGTGTTACAAGCTGATTGTGCATAGATAAGATCCCTGAAGTTGCAAAGACTAAAGTCTCAAAACCAAAGAGATATTCTTTAGAAAAGTTAAGACTCTGCCACGCCCCCCTAAAACGGCCCCCTAAAACACGCCCCCACATATCTAGGTCACTATGTGGGAAAATTTGCATAATGCACTCAAATGTGCACGCAAAGAAAGAAGGCGTGGTTTCAGTAACCGCAGTTAGTGTTGAAGCAGCATGTCAGGGAGACGCTGTGTGTTTCTAGGCGAAAGCAAAAGCACTTTATTTGGCCTTCCGAAAGTAGATGCATTTAGGAATCTTTAAGATTACTTACAACAGAACAGCAATGCATTTTATGGACGACCGTTTCGTGAACCTAGGAGAGGAGGTAATTCTGACTTTGCTATGACAATCTGGCGCTTCTGAATCAGCTACTGTTTTGTTATTAGTTTAAGTGTTTGCTATTGACTGTTTAGATGCGGAGTTTTGCGCATCGTGTGTGTGTGTGTGAGAGAGAGAGAGAGAGAGAGAGAGAGAGAGACAGGGACACATCAGTGAAACTTTTTAAATAAGCAAAAAAATACTGAATGCACCTTTTAATTATTCAAATATATTAATAAAAGTGTTAATTGGGGCGTATCTGTATGCATGGACCTCAACGCAGGCCATAGTGGGACAGTCTGCTGTGAGTGTTGTAGATGGGATCTGACGGCGAGGTAGTGGAATGTGTTGCATGCGTGCGGGATTGAACCAAACCTCAAGTAGTGGGGGACATTTGACGCTAACAAATTATCACTCGAGTTGTGTCTGTTTTTGTGTCAGAGTTTTAAACATATTAGTTTTATACAGCTAGATACATCACGCATGTTTATAATTTAGTTGTATCTGTCGGAAAGACTCGCCACGTGCGATTAATTAGACACGATACCACCCTGCCGCCTGACTGCAGAATGGATCGTTCCTCAGTAGGTGGGTCTTCGCTGCGGGCAACAGAACCGAGATCAATGAACCAGGCGATTTACCGAAACTGGTCAGACGAGCCAAGGTGGGAATAAAGCATCTATCAAGAGCGAGGTTTTTATTTAGCAGAAACCTTTATCTGCTCAAAGCACGGATTATCACTTCACTCCGGAGCCAACATTGAAGTGTGCGATGTGGAAAATTTACAGCTCTCTACTGTAACCTGATATCAACTGATTTTGAGAGTAGATTTTTTTAATTCATCGTTGGGTCACATAACACAAGGGAATACAGGATGATCTTCGCAAATACGTCCAACCCACTGAGAACTCCGTCATATCGAAAGCAGGTAGGTGAAGTGAGACATCGCAATGGTAATGATGATAAAGACTACAGGATGATGGACTCACAGTGGGTCAGTAGATCCTTTACCTGGGACAGAATGTATTTACTTCCTCTGGGCGGTGTCTCAACATCTAGCGAGCTGCCTACCTAGACAGCATTTTAGGGAGCGTGCGGCGTTTTTGATCTTTGCTAACTCGGAACGGGATTATGATAGACGAAAATGATGCACGCACCTATGATACCAAAAAATGCGGTCTAGGTAGGCAGATCGTTTGTGATTTGAGATGCCACCATTGCCTTTCAAGTAACTGGTTTCGGTTTTGCGTGAGTTCTTTCGTCATTAGGGCTTTTTGGATGTTAATCTTATCCATTTATGTTAATTTGGTGTATTACACAACACCGCTTCGTCTGCACTTGCACAATGCAATATTTATAAAGTCTGTTGACGGAACTGGAAGTGTCTTTTTCCTGCTTTGGGATGTCACAGTGAGCCTAGAAATAGAAATGAGACTAATGAAGTGTCATTTCATTTTACTAGCACTCATTTATCACATACATGCATCAGACATGTTGTTCAGTGAATTCCTCCTGTCATATTGCACTTGTTAAAGATATCTTATAGTATCCCATTAAAGTAACTGTCTTTTTAAAAAGAAGATGAATATTAGCATAGTCAGTGTTAATGAGTGACAGGAGATGAGGATGAGAGAAGCCTGTGGTGAAAGTCTCCCATGGCAACTTGTGTCAGGAGATTCTTGGGTGGGTTCTGAAGAATCTTTGCCTAATTAATATTCATGAGTTAATAGAATGTTTTCCAGCAATTGGTGGGCCAACAGAGGGTGTGGCCCGTGGAATTCTATTTGAACATTGCTTGTTTGTACATTCCAAATCTGTAGATGTGCGAATTTATGGATCACACATTTACACATGCATTTGCATAGGCGCTCATGTGGTGGAGCTCAGAGTGATGGCTGTGATAGAGGCAGCAGGAGTTCATGGGCTTCAGGATTTCACAGTTTATAGGAACCATATGGTCTAGGATGACTACAGCGCATAGCTCAGGACCCAAGGGACACGCCGATGTATGAGCGATGGCTTGGATATTGAATGTGACCCCCTTCCCTCTCCCTCTCCCTCTCCCATTGCTTTTTCTATGCCTTAGATACCCTTCCCATGACTTTGTTATTTTCCCAGTTGATAAACTGGACATGTACCCTGTGAGTCTGTGAGCACTTTCTATACAGCACTTGAAATCAATGTATTTTAATCATGAAAATGTGTGAAAATGATCAGCTATACAGTTGTTTGACAGATTGAAGAGGAAACTAGGACAGGATCTCCATCTGTCTGTCCTGTTCACCGTTCTCGTTTCATTTTGTGGATATGCTGCATGAGATCCTCGGGTGTTTTCCAACTAATTCTTCCCATAAATCTGCTATACAATGCTCTAAGTCATCCATCTCTCTCAACGTGTGATTTTCACGCTGTTTTGGAAGGAAAAGTGGCTCGATCTCTTGCCTCAGTAATTAACAGGCGCTAACAAGCTTATGGGGCCAAGTCCAGTTTCACCTCAGCGCACAAGTGTGTGAGCCGCTCATGTGAAAATGGGTCAGTGTGTCAAAAACGGAGAACTCCCATTAACCAGACAGAAGTGAGCACACACTTATTCACATGCGCTTTTATGCATGCATTTAAGAATAGTTTCAGAGCCAGAGCCACTGTGTTTTCTAACCGTGTCTGTGGCTTTGAGGTTTTGCCGTCACTTTTGCGGTGATTTGGTTCTGTGAACAATCACCCGCTGATGTTTAACAGGCAGCCATTTTGTGACGGCTGGGAGAAATGGAGCCGTTTTAATGAATGACTAAAAAAAAGGAAGTGAGTCAGTGATGTGGGCTGTGGTGGCCACTACTCAGGCTGGGCGAGAGGCCCACACATCCTGTATCCCAGAGCACTCCTGCATCATGTGATATTTCTCTGGAAAACATTCCTTCCTCTCTGCTAAAGCAGATTTATGGATGAAAACGCTACTCACAGTATGAATGAACGTGCCTCTGTGGTGAGTTCGGTAATGCGGTTTAGTAATGAGACACTTGAGTCAAACTCAAACCCCAATTGAATACACAACAAGCACTAAAAGATGAATAAAGGCTTAATTTCCACATATCTCAGTAAATTCTCTAAAGATTTTTGGTTTAGGATGTATTCTCATCTTTAAAAATAATAGTTTGCCCAAAAATTGATTCATAACAAAATGCCTTTTTAACTGGACGACCTGGTTCTGGAACACATTTGAATGTTTTTTTTAGCCGATTTCATTGGTCAAGTCGATCTCTTAGTTAGGGGTGTGAACCTACACTGTTCTCACTGTTCGGTTCGATTACGATTATCATGTCATCGATTCGGTTCAATTCGATATCACCATGCATTGACGATGCACTGCATCCTCAATTTTCAATTTTACTTCACATGTATACAGTTTTGTCGGTAAATACAAGCAGTCAGATTTTTTTTCAGATTTTTGGGTTCTCATTGGGTTTTTCGGCTTTTAAAGTAGTTGGAGCATTTTTAATTACTCGCACTTGCATTTTGCCTCCCTCCGCCATTGTATGTTACCTCGACAAAGCATGTATGCGACAAATGACGTCAGTACGTTATAATCGGTTATGGTCTATTACTGAACTGATACTGAATTGTCCTCGTTAGGGCTGGGACAATAAATCGATGCATCGCAATTCGTGGATCGATTCTGAGATTTTCAGAATGCATCGTGATTCTCTCTCGAATCGATTCTGAGCTTAATTTTTAACAGCAGATGCTGCTCTGGGCTAGTTTTTAACCGTACACTCAAATGCTCATGAAGAAGTGCGCTTGTGCATTCGGATGAGTAATGTAAGTGTTTAAATGTACTTGCATATCGGCTTTTATGATGCGAGATTAATGTAAACACAGCCCACTGTGAACATCCTTGTAATTCGCTTCAACCTTTTGGAACTTTATGAATGATTATTTTAGGTTCAAGTGGTGCGTGTGTAAGGAACTGGAAGCAAGCAGAATACGGCTATTTCTAAAGCACACAGTGCCATCTGCTGTTAAAAACTAATCTCAGAATCGATTCAAGAGCGAATCGTGATGCCTTCGTAAACTCTCAGAATTGATGCAGAATCATTTCTCGATTTGCAATGCATCGATTTATTGTCCCAGCCATCGCCTGCATCGCGGTTATTTGCGGAATTATCTTCCTTGCAAGTGGGTTGTGCACGGCTCCAGCGCGGATTAATCTAATGTGTGGCTTGTGGATACTGTACTTCGGAATCACAGATTCTAGCCTACGTCTTGGAATATATGACCCAAATAAGAATTTTCACTGGATATTGTCATCCAAACAGTAAGTAAGGTTCGGTGCCTTGCTCAAGGGCACCTCAGTCGTGGTATTGAAGGTGGGAGAGAGCACTGTACATTCACTCCCCCCACCTACAATCCCTGCCGGACTTCCCTAACAACATCAGCATTACGTGACTACATGTATACATGTAGATTTCAATTTCTGTACAGTCTAATTTCTAATTGTCATACCACTTTTAACCCCAAAAGCCAATTATTCTTCCTTAGAACTGGTTCTCTTTTAAAATACAAAACTTGTGTAATCACACGTTGGCTATCTGTAATCAGATGCACATTTAAAACTGGAATATAATTTTATTTCAGTCACATGTGTTTCATAAACACACAGGCTAATCCTTTCTGATTACAATCTGCCATCAAAAAAAGTTACGGACTGCAGCTTTAAGGTTAGTATTAGAGGTTAGAATTTGTTTCAGCGTTATGTTGGCAGTCGGCACTCTGATTGACATGACCAATGACATTTTTAGCTGTGAGGCGAGGCTTGTTTGGGGGAAAAAAAAATCACACAATTCATTCACAAGCAAAGATAAGTCTAAGATTTACGGTTTACATTTCTACTTTTATGATACTTTTCCATCTTGTTTAAAGCTTGAAAACTTCCAACCCCATTGCTTAGAATTGAGTGGAAAAGAGCAGCCAGCACATTCAGGCAGTCGGCACTCTGATTGACATGACCAATGACATTTTTAGCTGTGAGGCGAGGCTTGTTTGGGGGAAAAAAAAATCACACAATTCATTCACAAGCAAAGATAAGTCTAAGATTTACGGTTTACATTTCTACTTTTATGATACTTTTCCATCTTGTTTGAAGCTTGAAAACTTCCAACCCCATTGCTTAGAATTGAGTGGAAAAGAGCAGCCAGCACATTCTTTAAAACATCTCCTTTTGTGATTCACTGAAGAAAAAAGAAAGCCATATGGGTTTGGAACGACATAAGGGTGTGTAACGATGCCATGATTTTCATTTTTGTGTGAACTGTCCCTTTAATCATTGCACACAGCCGTGTGGCAAACGTTGAAAGGAACTGATGCCGCATTAGGAACTTCTCCAGAGTTTTATGGGCTTTCATCCAGTGGAATAATCCCAACACATTCAGCTCTGGAAGAATGCGTAGATTGGACTGATATGAGAGTTGAAGTACCGACTGTGCCTCTAGGCCTGTTTGTGCTTCGCTTTAACGGGAATTAGACTGTAGGGAGCTGTGGATGTGGGCAGACTCACTGGCGATGACTGACTGTGTAATAATAACACCAGTTTACTACAGATAAAGTTAAAGATATCATCATGTGAAGCCACAGCGTGTTTGAGGGTAGAGGGAGGTGGGGGCATTTTCTTTTTACGTTATTAGTGTGGATATTTTCTTTATAGTGTAGAAGAAAGAGAAGTGTGTCCATGGTTTGTTTTGGAAGTCACTATTTTTGTGTTTCAGTGCAGCCATTATGTGATGTCATCTTCTATGCATTTCCATTTATCAAATCAATGAAATCTTTGTTCCGCTCCCATGACAGCCTCCTGTTGCTCCGCCCACCCTCCCGATGGCCCCGCCCAGCCCGAGCACCAATAGCAGCACCAACAACAGCAGCAGCAGCAGCAGCAGCAGCACAACCGGCTGGGAGCAACTCAGCAAAACAAACCTCTACATCCGCGGGTTACCGCCAGGAACCACTGATCACGACCTGGTCAAGCTCTGCCAGCCGTGAGTATTGGCTGTTATGTCATGACAAAATCACCAGCCATGTCAATTAGAGTCTTGGATATACATTTAACCAAATAAATACAGTTCCTGTTCTGTTCTCCTGTTGCTGTGAGATTCTGCAGCACAGCAGGGCTGGCGTCTGTTAAGAGCTTGAACATGTGAGATTGTCAGAATTAGGTCAAGTTTTGGGATAAACCCTGATGAGCCCCTGTTTACCCCGCAAACATCCGCCACAATCAGCTTTTACAAGACTATACCACTAATAACCAGTAAAACCCACTTCACTCATGTCAGTGATATTATAGTCTATCACATGATCTAATTTTCCGATTTTACTTAAATAATCTAATGTGATTCCAAGTTTAACAGGATATTTCATTTAAAAAAACATAGCATAGAACTTTTTCAATTACACTGCATGGTATCCCACAATGCTATGCCCAAGTAGGTTTTGCATTTTCGTTCTGGTTTATATTTGCAAATAAGTGATGTCTTTCTATTCTCGACTTGGAATAGACATTTTATACAGAATTTGATTTAAACTGCATTTTTTTTAAGTCAGCCTAAAATGATATTCAATGATTTGACATCTGTCATCATATGTATTTATTAGTGAAATGGGATATTTAGCAAAAAAAGGCCGGTGCTTGATTTATATTTATTAGGAATTGATTGGATCATGAGAAGTGGACATTGCTTACCCCAATGGAGAATGTTGGTGGATAAAATAAGAGGTATTGTGGCATCCGCTGAAAAATGATAGTCGCTTCAGAGGCGTAGCAAGTAAGGATTACAAAGACGAAAATTGTTTTGTTCGGAATAATATGTACTAGGGGTGGAACTGTTCGCGGAAAAAAATCGAACCGTACGGTTCTCCACACACGGTTCGGCACACACTAGGACCGCAGTTCAACTTAAATCTGACAACGCATCTGTAATATATGTTTTGCTATAAATAACACGTAAAACAAACAGGGTTCGGCTAATGTATGTTTCTGTTGATGGATGCGCATTCTGGCTTCCAAATACATTACAACATCAGCGATGGAAAAAAAAAAACATGGACAAACCATTCACTCTTGTTCAATGCGAATGCTGTATGCTGGAATATGAGCATTTATTCCGTCATCACCCGGGTGCTGATAGCGCACGCGCACAGATGAGACCTGAACAGCACACGTTGATATCTGTGTTTAAGCTAAACTCATGTAAGCTTTGCCAGTTTAAACATTTAAGAGCTAGAGGACGCGAGCTCGCGTGCACAGTGAGAAGATTTGTGAGCGCGCTCATCCGAAGCGAGCAAACCCGTGCCTCAGAACGCACGCAAATATTAAGCTCTCTCTGAAGTATTGTGTTTAAATAGACAAATTCACACAGAAATTATGTCAAAATGCTCATCTTGGTAAGTATCCTATAGCAGACATAGCCGGCTAAATGTACTTACAGTGTCTTAAAGTGACAGCACTTTCTTAATATTAATCAAACAGCAACAACAAAGAAATCACTCACTGCTCTTGATTGAATAGGTTTTGTAACTTTAATAAACTAAAGATTAATTTTTAATTTATACAGTCAAATATCCAATGCTATTTACATTTCATTACTTTATTCAATTTCTGTACCTAAAAACTAATGTTAGACCTAAAACTATCTAAAGTGTTAATTTAAAGATGCTGAAATAAATATGCATATGTATCCAAATATTTTAGTTTGAGAGTGTAGGGAGACCGACTCAATTACGTCATGGGAGTTCTTTTAGTTCTTTGCATAATTAGGGGTAATGTACTTTTCCACCAGGAATTCTCCTGTTGAACATGATTATTTAAAAAATAAGTTAAAATAATGCTATAGCGTAAGCATCAATTACAACCTTGAATCTTACAGTAATTGTTGTTAAAAACCACTTCCCTAAAGGACAAAAATGAATATGATTTTACTTGCGGAACTCATGTTTTCATGTCATGCTGACTTTATTTAATATTTATTTAAATTATTTAGCATTTATAGCATGGCGGTTTTAAAAGAATTACATTGTATTTGTTCATTTTGTCTGTATAAACTAGAAACTTGAAACTAATCAGATATTTTTAACGTCAAGTGTCGGCTTTTAATTTGAAGGTTTTCTCCTCTGGTTATGCTACACAAGTTCTTCTCTCTCACCTCCTCTGAAGCTTGTAACACACACACACACACACACACACACCAATGAGTGTTTGTTTGAGATCCGCTGGTTCATAACAGACGCTCTGCCTGCAGTAGTAGGCCAGCAGCTATGTTTCAGCAGTTACTAGCGCAGGAAAAGTCACAAGTCGATCGGATCTGCAGACGGTGTCAGGGGTTTAGTTACCAAACATTTGTGCGTTGCTTATAGACATGGGCCGGTATGAGATTTTGACGGTATGATAACCTTAAGCAAAAATATCACGGTTTCACGGTATTGTTGTTACAACTCTAAAATGTGTTCATTTTAAATGTCTTGGTTAAAAAAAAAAAATAAAACCTGAACACAATATATTTTGAGCAACATACAGAATATTTGGAACAGTATTATTTGTTTATTTTTTCTTTGATTTGTTTCTGAAATGTGGGCTGTCCTGCAGCTTTTGATGTGGATGGTTGATTTGCTGCTAGAGCTGCTGCTGCCCTAAAAAAAAAGAAAAATAAAGACTGACATTAATATTAACCTAAATCTGTAAGTACAGTTATTTAATTTTAGTTATATAATTCATATACAATATCATTTCATATAATTTATTTATATAATTTCATATACATAATTTTATTTAATAATAACCCAATTTGAAGCAAAAACAGAAAGTTCTGACTAGCTTTGTGAAATTATTCTACATGCCTGAATGAAACAAACAGCAGAAGCTCTGAATGCGACGCAGATTCGACCAAACAAAGTAGTTTCGCTTTCACAACGAAAAACACAGCGGCCTAGCGTGAGGGGAAGCCCCGGCTTAGTGTGCGCTGAGGCCGGGATAGAGTGAGCTGAGGTGAGACTAAAAGTTACGCCTTCTTCCTTTGCGTGAACATTTGGGCGGCGTTATGCAAATCTTCCCACATAGTGAGGTAGATATGTGGGGGCGTGTTAGAACGAGCCGTTTTAGGTAGATGTTGCTGACTCTGAAATTTTATAAAGAGTATCTCTTTGGATTTGAGACTTTAGTCTTTGCAACTTTACAGATCTTCTTTATGCACCAAGTGCTTGTAACACTCCAAAGAGAAAGGAAAAAATTCAATCGCATCATATGACCCCTTTAATGTGAATTATACGAGATGAAAAGAAAATACCATCTAAACGTTTCTGAAGACAGTCCGTTCCCCTCAGAAACACATTCATATAAACCCCAAATCAATATTTAGGATTTTCTTCCAATAGTTCGTGCATCATGAACAGTGAGTGATCTGCCTGCTACAGTATTTTTCTTTGTGCGTCCGTCTTCAGCGTCTCTGGCCTCTGTTAACGGGCGTTTACAGACTTAATATTTTCACATAAATGACATTTGGAAAATGATATGCATTGCAACGCAGTTTGTGCAAGTCCAGAACAGAGATCGGCTGCCGATCACGTAAGTTCCAGAGGAAGCTCCTTTGGCCGTCATACACACGTGACTGACCGCTCGCTCGCACCAACAGGAGGGGGAGGGGGCGTGTTACTATCTACTCAACCTGAGGGATTCCTACACTTTCAGTCTTTGAGGAGACATGAAAAACAGCACATACCGCAGGAACGGTATAACGGAAAATATTAGCGGTTTTAAAAGCGTGACATTTTCAAATCGCGGTATACCTTGAAACCGGTAATCGGCCCATGCCTACTTGCTTAGTTCCCTAAAATATTGCGAGACTGCTGTTACTAATTTCATCCTGCTGAACACAATGGAATATTTGCTAATGCTATCACGAATCATCGTCCCCTTTCGTACAAACATATATGCGTGCGTGCGTGCGTGTGTGTTTATATCCACGCGAGAGCGCTTGTTTGTGCAGAGGCGTTCCGATCCCGCGTGTATTCCTTTCAAACATTCCCACCGTGGGTTAATTTACCCCTCGCTGCCCCCGGGATCATCTCCATGGTAATCCCTCAAATTAATTGTAAAGAGTCAGATGGGGGGCCCATAATCCTCTTGGCTTGTATCCTGGTTAAAAGTGAAGCTGAGGTCATATGTACATATAACTAAACACAATACTACAGACTTCGCGGTTATAATCACAACCGTATATTTTGGTTAAAACCATGAGGAATGTGTCCGTTCAGCTTTGAGGTATTGCGGTGACATGGTAACCTCGCTTTCCGGAGCCGTTTTAATCACAGAGAGTGACCGTTCACGGCAGAGCCGCGGATTGATTTGCCTTGATCCGCATCAGGCTGAAAAACAGCCTCGCTCTGGGAGCCGCTGACAGAATTCTGGCGGTGGGGACAGGAAATGGGGCCTCCCTGCTGGAGCGTGTGGGTCAAGGCCAAGGTCGCGCGGCCCTCTGGCGCGTGGAGTCTTGTGATCTGTGTGTGAAATGTGATTGGCTCCGCTTTTCCCTCTCTTACGACATGGCCCAGGACGCGCCCCAAAATGTTGTTTAGCATTTGCTTATGCAGCTCTGCTAAACGTCACGCTGAATAAATATGTATTAATCTCAGCCAGAGTTTTAATGACACAGGAAAAGGATTATAAATATATGAGCGTATTTAAATTTCAGCAGCCCTCGGTGAAGGTGAATGAAAAACAGCTCTTTCCAGTCAGCACTACTGTCACGGCTCTTTCCTGCGCAGCCTTCCTGAGAGAGACATCAATAAATCTAAGCCGGCATGAGAATACATTTATTTTTTGGCACTTGAAACAGTTCAGTTCAAAGGTTCGGGGTCAGTAAGATCTTTTTTATACATCAGTGATGCATTAAATTGGTCAAACATTTATAGCAGACATTTATAATTTTGCTAAATATTTCTATTTCAAATAAATGCTTTTTAACTTCCTAAAAAAAATATGAAGTTCCCACAAAAATATGAAGCAGCACAACCATTTTCAACACTGATAATGAGAAATGTTTCTTGAGCAGCAAATCAGCATATTAGAAGGATTTCTGAAGGATCATGTGACACAGAAGACTGTGGAGTAATGATCCTGAAATTTCAGCTTTTTCATCACAAGAATAAATTACATCTTAAAATATATTAAAATACAAAACAGTTATTTTAAATTTTAAATATATTTCACAATATTACTGTTTTTATCGTACTTTCAGTAAAATGAAAAATAAATAAATAAATAAATATATATATATATATATCTTTGTTTCTGAATTAAATGCGCCTCGAACAGACTTTGAGAGCTCTTTTGGGTGGTGCTATTTTTTTCTCAGCTCGGATTATGGTAGATCTTGTGTTTCATGTCCTGCAGGTCATGAATTCCTGTGCTGTTGTGTCATTTGACACATTGACTGACTTGTTGTCTCTGTCTGTAAGCAGATATGGTAAAATCGTGTCCACCAAAGCCATTTTACATTTTTTGATATTCTTCTTATTCTGTGTGGTCAGTTCACAGCAGTGATAAAAATTATTCTTTTCCAATAAGTTTAAATAGATTTTTACCTTTTTATGGGCATTTTTACCTTTAAAAATAATTTTTTTCTAAAAGTGTGCATCATCTTTTGAGTCAAATTCTTACATTTAATCAGTCAATTATAATAATAATAATACATTTAGGCTATTACCAAACAAATTAAATCAATATAAACGAAATTCATCTTTGCAGAAGTTGCATCTGAAGTGACATTTAGATGTATTTTCACGGTCATGCACATGTAACATGGAATGCTTTAATCTACACTTACAAATGCATAAGTAATGTTTTGATATTTTAACGCTGAATACTGATATTTGAAATTATTTAAAAAATGAAAAGATACTTTAAAGTGCCACTACTATGCCATTTTTAAGGTTCCTAATATTGTTTTGGGAGTCTCCTACAATAGGATTACATGCATGCAAGGTAAAAAAACGCTTTCGTTTTCTCAAAATATGCATTTAATATCACCTAATTTTCGAGCGATTCTCAAACGAATCATTCAAAGCATTTCTAAGATTCAGTCTCTCTAAAACCCTCCTTTCCATGAGCCTACTCTGCTCTGATTGGTCAGATGGCCCAGTCTTTTGTGATTGGTCTATCGCGTACAGTGCGTGTCGGAAACGATATGCCTATTGCCATAGTTCCATACTTTGAACGCTCAATAGAAAATATAAACATCTATTATTTATCATACTTGTGATTCAGTGGAGCCAGCTGGTCCAAATAAACCATCTGAGCCATCTTTCAAGAGCAAGCGTTTAGTGAATCCTGCGTTGAACTCCCCGTGATTTGTTTTTTTTAACTCCCCGAGATTAGAGAAGCAATCGTCAGTAAAATGACTTGTTTGTGGGCGGGGTCAAGTTGTTCGCTGCCGGCCAACGTAGTACATAGGCGGGAATTATGCAAAAGTGTTACCCCATGAAGTGTAGCCGTCACGGAAGTAGGATTCGAATTACTAACGACTCGTTTGGGCTGTAGAGAGTCGATTCTTTATTTTGGGAGACAATAACTTTATTTATCGTGCATTTTCGGCTTTACAACTTTGTTGATTGTTTACATTCACATACAGCTACATTACACACTGCATGAAAGGCAATATTGAAAATGGCATAATAGGGGCACTTTAAATGTGAAATTAAAACGGCCAGTAGGTAGCAGCAAGTCACTGTTAATTGAGTCCTTGCGATTGAACCGAATAATTTAAACGGTTGATTCATTCAGGAACAAAACACCGTCATGTAGCTCAGAGATGCAAAACGGTGCTGTGATGGCTGTGTTTGGAATTATTTTTGTCTGCGAAATTGGGCAAAGACTGGCAATATGGTGACTAAAACGTAAGTCTCTTAATATTAACTTATTGTTTACTGAATCAATATCAGATTTGTAATCATGCTGATTTTTGAAAAAAAAAATGGCACTCTTCGTGTGATATTGATTAACTATATAAAATGATATAAATGTATAGATTTTCTGCCCCCAGATCTTAAATTATGTGATCGGGGCAGAACTCCGCCATGCACGCAAGTAGGTATATTCAGAGCCGATTCTCCCCATACGCAAAATATGCAAGCTGCGTAGGGCCCCCGAAACATCAGGGGGCCCCCTTGCTCTCAAAAATTATTTAATTTTAGTTTCGTTTTTCAATTTGGCCAGCGGTTATTAAAACATGAATGATAATTTCTTTTAATGCGGTACGCTGTCGCCCTTTCTACGTAAAAATCAGTCAAATCATGTAATGCGAATGTCGTACAATCTTGCTCGAGACTCAAAAACGAGTTGAAAGTGTACCAAGCCGCGGAAGAGACACTGTTTCTCAATCGCTTTGCGTGAGCGCGATTCGAGACGGAGAGAAACACGGACAAATGCATTTCATTCATTCATTCACAACCACCGCTAGCAGGCTAATCAGTTAGCAGTGTGCTACATGAACAGTAGGTTAGCTTACAAGCTAAAAGAAAAAAAAACAAGAAATGCTTACTTTGACCATTTACACAAAGTACATTTAAGATGATGTGTTTGGACTCAAGTCAAGCCTCACAGTGACTGTTATCATCTGAATAGACGCATGAAGGATGCTTAATAATGCGTGTAATGTGCCATGTGTTTTGTTTTCTGAATACAGCAACAGGAGCAGGACCCGACTAACCTGTACCTGTCCAACCTGCCCGTGTCCATGGATGAGCAGGAGCTGGAGAACCTACTCAAACCTTTTGGACAGGTCGTCTCCACCCGAATCCTCCGTGACACTAACGGAGTGAGTCGGGGAGTGGGTTTTGCCAGGTCAGTGACATCTGGGTACTGATTTTGTGTGTTCATGTGTGAATCAGTGTCAGATATACGCTATTTGTGTGGATATGTTCTGAAATGTTCAATTTTCTCGCTCTATTTTAAGGATGGAATCAACAGAGAAGTGCGACGCCGTGATCTCTCACTTCAATGGGAAATTCATTAAGTCCTCCTCTGGGATGCTGGGTGAGTGTTCGGCACAATGTTCTTTACAATGCATATATAGTCTATATGTAGGCTAGAGACTATAGATTATATAGTCTGTACTGTACTGTAAGTGAAATGTGTGTGTGTGTGTTACAGGTGCATCAGAACCATTGCTGTGTAAGTTTGCTGACGGCGGGCAGAAGAAGAGACAGAGTCAGGTGAAATACATCCCCAATGGACGAACCTGGACACGAGACGCCGAGGTGAGACTAGTAAGTCCTGTTTATAATTGTGTGTGTGTGTGTGTGTGTGTGTGTGTGTGTGTGTGTGTGTGTGTGTGTGTGTGTGTGTGTGTGTGTGTGTGTGTGTGTGTGTGTGTGTGTGGGGCGTGATAGCAGGTGAATGGATGTGTGTTTGTGGCTTGAAGCAAAATGAGCCATTCTTACATGACATCATACGTCACACTTTGTTTGGTTTCCAACCATTTAAATCTGATTATTAACATATTTTAAATGTTAAAGGATTAGTTCACTTCCAGAATAAAAATTTCCTGATCATTTACTCACCCCCATGTCATCCAAGAAGTTCATGTCTTTCTTTCTTCAGTCGAAAAGAAATAAAGGTTTTTGAGGAAAACATTCCAGGATTTTTCTCCATATAGTGGACTTCAATGGGAGCCAACGGGTTGAAGCTCTAAATTGCAGTTTCAGTGCAGCTTCAAAGGCCGAGGAATAAGGCTCTTTTCTATAGCGAAACGATTGGCCATTTTCATCTTGACTTCACACATTATGTAATCATGTTGGAAAGGTCCTGCGTGACGTAGGCGGAAGCACCGACCCAGTGTTTACAAAGTTAACATGCAAAGAAAGTCAAACGCCCTCTACAAAAAAAGGTAAAACAATGATGTCGGACAATTTTGAAGTTGGAGAAAATGAGATGGATACGTGTATATAAATATGCCTTTCCAAGTATATCAATTTTTTTAATTTTTTTTTATTAGAAAATAACCAATCGTTTCGCTAGATAAGACCCTTATTCCTCGGCTGGGATCATGTAGAACCCTTTGAAGCTGCACTGAAACTGCAATTTAGACCTTCAATCCGTTGAGCACCACTGAAGTCCACTATATGGAGAAAAATCCTGGAATGTTTTCCTCAAAAACCTTCATTTCTTTTTGACTGAAGAAAGAAAGACATGAACATCTTGGATGACATGGGGGTAAGTAAATTCAGGAATCAGGAATTTTTTATTCTGGAAGTAAGCTAATCCTTTAATTGTAAAGTGAAACTGCCTTTATCATGTGTATGAAGCCAGTAATGTTCAACTTTTCTTTTGCTTTCTTTAGAGTGGAATGACCTTGACCTATGACCCTAACACCGCCCTTCAGAATAGGTAAGAACAGCTTGAACATGTCTTAAATTGCTCACTAATATGCATAATGTATATTGTCTACTATAATATAGAATAATGTATATTCTATAGAGCCCTGCATGTGATATGCGCAAAAAAATTATCAGGGCCACAAATGACAAGTTTCTTTCCTTAGTTTTAGTCAAATTGTGGCCATGTTGTACTAATCTGTTCCCTCATGTTACGTAAAATCATAGCCATGTTGTGCTAATTTATTCCCTTGTTATAATTAAATTGTGGCTAAGATGTACTGATTTTTCCCCCTTGTTTTAGTTCAGTCGAGCCCACGATGTATTAATTTGCTCCCTTGTTTTAATTAAATGGAGATCACATTGTACAAATTTGTTTGCTGTTTTTAAGTTAAATTGTGGCCACTTTGCACTGATTTGTTCCCACATTTTAGTTAAATCATGAGCACGCTGTACTAATTAAAACCCTTGCTTTAGTTCAGTCATGGCCATGTTGTACCCCTTAGTAAAAAAGCAATACTTTTCAAATACACTAGTTTCATACTAAGTATAGTTCAATCTATTAACATATTTACTGACATATCACTCTAGACTTACTGATATCATAATTAAATCATAATGCAACTTTATTTGGAGTATTACTTGTGCACAATGCACATTTCTTAATATTAAGCCTGAAATGTGTTTTTATATCACTATTAATGAGGATTGTATGATCTTTGAATAATATTGGTCTTTAAATGCAAGATATTTAAAGTGTACCTGAAGTATACTTGCAATAGTTCCACTTCAGCACAATCAGATATACTTCAGTATATCTTCATTTGGACTTCAGCACTACTTCCGCACAATTGAAGTGCATTAAGTACAAAATTAGTTGTTCCAGTTTAGCAGACTTTAAGTATACTAAAAGTACAGTTGCAGGGTATTTTTATCAAGCACTTAAATATGTACATGTCTTTGTAGTGTACTTAGCATGAAATAAATGTATTTCAAATACATTTTTCTTGGACTTCAGCACTACTTCCGCACAATTGAAGTGCATTAAGTACAAAATTAGTTGTTCCAGTTTAGCAGACTTTAAGTATACTAAAAGTACAGTTGCAGGGTATTTTTATCAAGCACTTAAATATGTACATGTTTTTGTAGTGTACTTAGCATGAAATAAATGTATTTCAAATACATTTTTCACTAGGGCCAATTTGATCACAGATTTTAATTTGGTGAAATCATAAATAGGTCCAATTAAAAGATGTTTTTGTGCATTGTGTAATTGCCATTATATAGTTCAAATGATGTGCAGATTTCATATAGAGCCTCACAAACACTGTATCCTGATGCTACAGGTACTATGCTGCTCCTTATGCCATGGGGAACCGGTTAATGGCTCAGCCAGGAGTGTCCCCATACATCTCTCCCATCTCTGCATACCAAGTACAGCTCTTTATCTTCTACTTCATCTTCACGGTCACATGGTGTTGATGTGAGTGTTTCTGACCAGCACCTGCTTCCTGGCTAACATCTGTGCTTGTGTCTCCAGGTACAGAATCCTTCATGGATGCCACATCAGCCTTACATCATGCAACACCCGGTAAGGCCAAAAGATTCTCTCTGCATCTCTCCTTTTATTCACGTCTCCTTCCAAACAAGGAGATGACTCACAAACAATACTGCTTAAACTAGTCATAAAGAGTTGTGTTTCCCGTTTTTGCCCTATTGTGGGCAAAATTTCTCTCTTATTTAGTGCAGATGTATATTAATAGCTGGATTTCTGGCTCTTTCTCTGTAGTTGCTGATTATGATTGTCGTACTCTGTTTTTTGACTCAGGGAGCTGTTCTGTCGCCCTCTATGGAGCATCCCATGTCACTGCAGCCCTCCGCTATGTTGGCTCCCCTCACCCAGCAGATGGGCCATCTCTCTCTGGGCAGCACTGCGACCGTATGATCCTCTCACACAGATTGCACTAATATATGGCACAAGCGTTTTTTCTAATTAATAAGTAATATTTACACCTGTGTTTTTAATAAAGCCACATCGGTCTGCTTTCCTGCAGTTTATTCCTGCCAACACAGGAATGTCAGGAGCTTACATTCCTCAATATGCCCACATTCAGCCTTCTGCCATCCCTCCTGAGGTCAGTCCCACACTCAGGTTATCAATGACAGTTATACCACGGCTGCTACAGTCTTCTGAATTGTCTAGATGTTGGTCCAGTTCTAGCTTAAAAAGCTTTTTAGAGAATTTATCTGAAGTGAAGTGTATTTTTAATGTCAGATTGGGCTTTTTAAATTTAGAAGATTCTATGTATAAACCTTTATTTTTAGGTCGGTGAGATTTTATTTTATTTAAAATTTTTTTGATAGAAGTTTTTTATGCTCTCTGAGGCAACATTTATTTTAAGTTTAAAAATAGAGTAAAAAAGAAAAACAGTAATATTGTGAATATATTTTCCAATTTAATTTATTCCTTAGATGGCAAATCTGCATTTTTAGTCTTCATTGTCACATGATCCTTCAATAATCGTTCTAATAAGAAACATTTCTTATAATTTTTTTTTCTGGATTCTTTGACGAATAGCAAGTTCATTTATCCTTGCTGAATAAAAGTAATATTTTCTTTTAAAAAAATAAAACCTTACTGACCCCAAACTTGTAAATGGTAATGTATGTCCCAAAGAGAGCTCAGGTCAAAACAAGACTGGGCCAATTCTATATCGCCTCTTTCCTTGATTCAAATCCTTTGAAGGCCAAACAATAGTCATTACTTTTACATTGTCATATGTTAAAGCCATGCTTTTAAATAATCCAGTTTTAGCTTATATACTGTAAACCTTGATTGCCAGGTGCTTATAGGTTCATGTTGTCATGTTTCAGAACTAAGGATTTGTTTGTGGAAAAGCTAAAATTAGTAAAAGAAGAAACAGCTTTTGCAAGGTAAGCACAATAGCACTGTCATGTTAATGTGCTCGATCAATGTGTTTCTATTTCTACACATCCCAACTGTGCTGATGTTGCTTTTGATACCATTATTCATAATCAGCTCTATTAATGTAATCGGTTTCAGAAAAATATGGGGGAGACCGGGGGCAATTGTAATATTTTTTTTCATAGATTTTCCTCATAGCTTACAGACACTTGAAATATAGCTACACCTATATTTCTTCCATGTATTTTTGATACAAGAAACAAATATAGGTTCACTAATTAATAATACAATTGATTGATTTTTCACTAATAAGAATACAAGAAGTCAGAGTGTTACAATTGCGCCCTTGGTGGAGGTGATTGTAAGTGTTTGGGGGCAGTTGTTACACTGAAAAATAAGTCATATTAATAAAAACCTACCTCAAAGTAATCACTTTACTGTTGTAGTATCAAATAATGTTACTTTTTTTGTATATGATTGAAATTCTTTTAGATGTCAGGCATCGTATGCATTTTTGCAGAAGATTATGGACTAGATTTTAATTATTTAAATATGTTTGAATTATATATATATATATATACACACATACACACACACACACCTCCCCCCTTTTTCAAGGGACCATAAGTAGGGACCTAATTGGACAGTTGACTCAAAAGCCATTCATGGACAGATGTGGACTATTCCTTTGTTATTTTGACAACAAAAGGTCTGGAGTTGATTTTAAGTGTGCCATTTGCATTTGGAAGCTGTTGCTGTGAACCCACATCATGCGGTCAAAGGATCTCTCCATACAAGTGAAACAGACAGTTGTTTTCAGTCAAATGGAGCAAAGTTGATAGGACGGCGCTTCATAGTACAAATGGACGATGACCCAAAACACAACAAAAGCAGGTTTGAGCCAACTGCAGAATTGATTGGCTTTTTAAAACCTATTGGTAATCTCACACTTGACTTGACTTCTCTCTTTCACAGGGAGCAGGAACAGAAACACATCAAGTGTGAAGCACTGCTAGCAGAACAGAGGCAGAAAAGACTGGAGAGAGAGCTTTCTCATCCAGCGAAACCAGCAAGTGGCACAGAGAACAAGCAATATATTTTATGTTTTTGTCTTTATCAAATATTGTAACATGGTTCAATAGTGTGATGCTAAGATTTTTTGTCCTCCTCCACAGAAGATATTTATATTTTACAGAATAATTGAACCTATAAAAAAATCAGACAATTACATCAAGCAAACAAAATCAAATGTTACAATTTTTGTTCTGAAGGATGCATTAAAACGTTAGTTAGCCTGGAACTTATTTAAAGGGGTCATATGATGTTGCTAAAAAGAACATTATTTTGTGTATTTGGTGTAATGAAATGTGTTTATGTGGTTTAAGGTTAAAAAAAACATTATTTTCCACATACTGTATATTATTGTTTCTCCTCTATGCTCCGCCTTTCTGAAACACGAAAGTAAGAGGGAAAATAAATATATCTAGCAATATCCAGCATATTTAACTTATATTAAAAAAATTATAAATCTAGCAAACATAAAAATGTATTGTTACATTTAAACCCTATATTAAATATGTATTAATAATGTATTAATTTAAGTAATAATAAAAAAAAAAACATAGTAATTTCTTTCAGTATGTATTAAAAACAAGTCACATGGTGTGATAATGTAATAGCATTTTCATTGAATAAATGTCTGTACAATCTTAATCATTTAAAAAAAAAAAGTTTTTAAACATATTTTTTCATGGTAAAAATCTTCATTTTTAAGAATGATAACAGTCAAGCAGGTGAGATTTGTATATTGCTTAATATGCTCATGTTGCAATAAGGAAACAACGCAATGACCTGCACATCTTAAAGACACCTTTATGTTTATTTTAGCGCTTTATACAAAACAGATTGTTTCAAAACAGCTGAGTGTTAACAGAATCAATTATGCAAATGGACAAAAATTAGGTAAATCCAAAAGCAGCTGCACTGAGTTTAAAAGATGATTAATTAAAAGTTTACCTGGGGATAATTATTATTATTTTTTTTGCCATTTTATCCTTTATTTTGATAGGACGGTTAAGTATTAACAGGAAGTGATGTGGGAGAGAGAAATGAATAGGACGGGATCGGGAAAGGTATCCAAGCCGGGACTCGAACTCGGGACGCCAAAAGCACAACTGAGTTACATGTTTATCGCGCGGCCCATGACCCTATTGGCACCAACTACCGAAGAATAATTTTTATTCAAACTAACATTTTTGTCATAATTTTTGTTCTGAAGGATGCATTAAAACGTTAGTTAGCCTGGAAGTTATTTAAGA